TAAAAAAAAGAGAAAATTCTTCAATCTCAAAGACAAAATTTATCATGCTGTCAAAAAAAAAAAAAAAAAATGAAATCAAACAAAAAAAAAAAAAAAAAAAAAATTAAGATCAAAATCATATTAACAAGAAAACTCAGGTGTAATGAAAGTCTGATCTTTGTGAAAATTGATTAAACTCTAAAAAGCATCTTGAGGAAAGAACGCAGTTTCTCATTGTCTGATTTGGTCACAAAAAAAAAAAACACAACTCGTTCCTTCTTTTAATAAAGACTTGTAGTTATTAAGCTGTTAACTATGTCACTTATTTTTTGGTGAGAGAGAGAAAAGCGACATTGTCAATATTTGATAAATTAGTAAGGCATGACATTGGCATATCAGTTGGAATAAGGTTAGTCATGGTTGTTGGGGAATTAACACACATACCATTCGTTGGTAATGCAAACCAAAGTCATAAAAATCTTAACAAAAAATTCAACCACCCCCAAAAGAGAAACAAGCTGAGGCTAACAGGGTTAAATCTGGTGCAATCAGGTTTTAGTGGTAGACAGATAGGACATTTATGGTGGCGCTCTAAAATGGAAGGTCAAAACAAAGAAATGGATTGTTCGGAGAGAAAATAATTTGGATACAGTAAGAGACTGAATAGAAAGCTGGAAAAAAAAAAAAATCTGACATCGTTGATAAAAGTAGTGAATATTTTATTTCTCTATTTTATTAATTGAAAAGCAAAATGGATTTAAAGCTTTCCATACTTAAATGCTTTTAAATTTTTATGTAAGACTGAGATTTAAGCTGACATGATAATAGGGTACCTCCAAAGATTCATTTAAAAAAAAAAAAAAAAAAAGAAAAAAAAAAAGAGCATACATGATGAAAAAATGCCCAAAATATAATAAAAACAAAAATTTATCATCAAAATCTTTTTAAAATGAAAGATCAAAATATTTTTTGATGTAAAAAGTATTTTTCTTCAATCCTTTTCAGAAATTTGGCAATTTTGGTTAAAATTCTTGTTTCATTTGCCATCAATTCAAGATCCTTAATTTCCTTTTTTTTTTTCTTCCAAAAATCAGATAATTGTTCGGTTTTAATGAAACTCTCAGGACTTGTTCACAAGAATGAAAATAGTTTTGAAATCATTTTTTAAGAAATCATTGTAAAAAAAAAAATTGTTTCTTTATTCCATCTGTTGCAACAAACTTATTTAATTTTTATATGAAATTTCAAGAATTTCTTTTTTTGTATGGCTTAAAGTACTTGGAGAATTTAAATAATCAAAATTTTTGGTCAAACAGACCCCCCCCCACCAAACTGTAGAACATCTGCTCTAAATTGTAAAATAAAAAAATGTAATAAAACTAAGACATTTTTTTTTAATTAGAAAAGTTTTTAATTGCTTCTATGAAGAAAATATATTATGCTTACTGTTGTCTTAAGAGAAAATGTTTTATTTTTTTTTGATGAATAATGAATTTTTAAATATATTGATTCAATTTTTTAAAAATTTTAATTAGAATAATCTATAAACTTTTAAATCTCTTAAAATTTTGTATTTCTAATGGTCAAATGATATTGTTATTAATTAAATTATTAAATTAAAACTGTATTTATAACTGGAAAAGCTTTCAACTCCAGTAAAGAATTTAAAATTTTTTTCATGTGTGTACAAATGTGTCAATTTTTGTAAATACAGGCATCCATACACAATATTATCAGATAATAAAGGTACTTATAATAAATTTAAAATTTATAGCTAATTTCTAAAAATTCTCTCAACAAGTGTCTTTATAAGTAAGGCTATAAAGCCAAAGCACTTAAAATCCAATAAAATATTGAATTGCTTAATTGATTGATTTTTAAAGATTACTGGGTAGTTAAAAAATGATGTAAGAAAAGCATTCACATTGTATTCCACAAGTAATTTCTTTTTTTCAGTTCTGTTCCCCTTATGTAAATTTTCCAAACACCAGGCTCTCAAATCATGACAACTCAGAAAAAGACCCTATCCATGTTAAAAAAAAATACTTTCTGCAATTTTTTTAAAACTAAAAGTAATATTTGTTACATTTTATTCTTGTGTTTTTGTTTATTGATGTAATGGAATAACCAGTCACCCCCATAAATGATTACACTATAGGTAGTAAGTACCTATAAAGTCAACTGTCTATGAGAGACTCAAAAAAGAGAGAGAGATGACGCAAGCACGTCCGACCTTCCAATTAGTGGCACTTACTACTAGATTGACCTGTGTGTATAACTGTACTGTATTTCAGATTGACCTGTGTGTATAACTGTACTGTATTTCAGATTGACCTGTGTGTATAACTGTACTGTATTTCAGATTGACCTGTGTGTATAACTGTACTGTATTTCAGATTGACCTGTGTGTATAACTGTACTGTATTTCAGATTGACCTGTGTGTATAACTGTACTGTATTTCAGATTGACCTGTGTGTATAACTGTACTGTATTTCAGATTGACCTGTGTGTATAACTGTACTGTATTTCAGATTGACCTGTGTGTATAACTGTACTGTATTTCAGATTGACCTGTGTGTATAACTGTACTGTATTTCAGATTGACCTGTGTGTATAACTGTACTGTATTTCAGATTGTCCTGTTTGTACAATAAACCTTTCTTCTATTATCCACCTGGTGTTAAGCATTTATTCCCATAGCACGGAATATAACATTAATTTATTTTTATTTTACACACTAGTTTGTACTTTATATTGTTCTATTTCTGTAAAATAAGAATGATTGCTAAAAACATCCCCCCTCCCAACATTTATAGACAAATCCTACAGATGCATGTTGGGATTTTTTCCTAACTAATAAAAATGAACAATTCTCAGTATCATCTCTACATTTTTGTTCTCATCTTAAAGCCAGTATGCTCTTATCACTTGACTGTATCCCTTTTGCATGTGAACACAATTCTTACTTTGTGAACTTTTTTGCTTTATTATTGTTGCTTTGCCTCATTTTGACTTACATAAACATTGTTTGCCTCGTATTATTGTGCCTTGTTCCGTTTCCTTTCTTATTGTTTATTAAGAACTTTGTAAATTTCATTTGTTGAGCATTTTAACTGTGGCCAATTACTCCACAAACCAAAGGCAACACATATGTAGAATACCAAAGCTAAAACATGAACATCCAAATTTGGTTTTGCTAAAAGGTAAAACACATTCTTATATTAGATAAGCTAGAGATAGTTTTTCTTTATATTTTTGCCTACTGTCCATTTGATTCTTCTCTTGTCAGATTAAAAAGAAAAATGAAATTTTCATGTCAGTTAGGCATATCATGAAATACCGAATCCTACACACTACGCAAATATCTTATTTTTCAGTGTTTTTTTTTTGTCATTTATAAATTTGTTGCACAGAATTCAAACACAAATTAAAATTTTCTTCTTTTATAATAAACTTGCCTTTTTCCTATTTTTTAAAATTAAAAACCAGTCTTTTGGGAGATTCAGTTTAATGATTAATACTGTCCTGTTTCCTAATTGAAATCATATCTGGTTTGTGGGGTTCCAAACCATTGACAGTCTATGCAAGAAAGTCCCCAAAGACTTGTCCTTTGTTGGAACAAATGATGGGTCAGGTTTTCACTATTTGTCACTTGTCTCCCAGCCAAACTTATCGCCCAACATATCATGGTCATCATCATCAGAATATATCATCATCATCATCTTAAAAAGGAAGGGAGGTCAGAGAAAGTAGATTAAAAACCAAGGGAGAGGGGTGAAAAGAATGAACAAATAGAGTTAATTGGAATTTATTTAGCCTTAACCAATTATGAAATTAATTCAGAACTTGCATTTATTTAAGTTGAGATTCAAATAAAATTAGACATCATGTTTAAGCTTGTGTATGCGCACGTGTGTGTGTGTGTGTATGCATATGTGTGAAGGAGTGAGAGAAAGGGAAAAAGAAAGTGATTTTTAAAATCCAAATCCTATACAGATATGTAACTGTTAAAAGAAAGACAAACATACAAAATACAAAGTATTTTTGTGTGCATAGATGTATATCTAGCTGCGTACATGAAGACAACTTTGTATTTTACAAAAATGTATCCATGTAGGATTCCAAGTGTGAGTATATGAGGAATAGCTTGTATTTGTATATACATCTGTGTTACTGTGTGAATGAATATTCATGAACAGGTAGGTCTACCTGTGTGTATGTGTGTGTGAGAGAGAATACCAGTGCGTCTTTGCATGCACAAATTATTGACAGGTGTGTATCAATATGTATTCATCCCAAAGTGTGAGTGGGAAGATATATTTGTATCAATTTTTGCACACTTGTATATCAATTTGTAAGTACATTTAGCAGGGCCTGTGTATTGAGTGAATGCCTGGAGGTGCCTGTGTGTCACTGAGAAGTGAAAGGTGGGGAAAGGGAGTGTTGTTAATTTCAGGATGAAAAATAGTAAAAGGAACACCTTCCCCATTTTATCTTTCTCGTTCTTCTTTATATGAGTTTTTTTGGCTTGTTTTTTTTTTTTTGTGCTGGGAACATGCGCACATGGAAGAATGTGTGTGCATGGACACAAACACACACACACAACAAGCATCACCAGGAACAGACAAACATTCATTACAAGAATATGGCACAGGCTGATTAAAAAAATAAAAAAATATGCAGATGTGGGTGGTTGAGAGAAAAACCTGATTTGACCCTATTGGAAATTAGAAAGATTAAAAAAGAAAAAAAAAAAGAAAGAAAACTACTGAGTAAGGATGAAGAATAAAAAGGTAAGAGGTGAGAGGAAGAGAGAGACAGAAAGGGAAAAGAATGAGAGAGACAAAAAGGAAATTGAGTCAGAGAAAAAAAAATCAGCAAAATCCCAGAATTAAACAGAGAGAAAGAGGTAAGTGTGAATGAGATGTGTGGTAGTGAGGGTGCAATAGTAAATGATACAAGGAGGGGAAGACAACAAATGCAAATTTGAATGGGGAGAGGAGGGGTGGCAAACAAAAAATTATACTTTGTGAGTGACTGGTGAAGAAAAAGAGAGAAAGCAAATAAAAAAGAAGAAAAGAGAAAGCAAATAAAAAAGAAGAAAAGAGAAAGCAAATAAAAAAGAAGAAAAGAGAAAGCAAATAAAAAAAAAGAAAAGAAAAAAAAGGAGAAAAGAAAAGCAAATAAAAAAGGAGAAAAGAGAAAGCAAATAAAAAAGGAGAAAAGAGAAAGCAAATAAAAAAGGAGAAAAGAGAAAGCAAATAAAAAAGGAGAAAAGAGAAAGCAAATAAAAAAGGAGAAAAGAGAAAGCAAATAAAAAAGGAGAAAAGAGAAAAAGCAAATAAAAAAGGAGAAAAGAGAAAGCAAATAAAAAAGGAGAAAAGAGAAAGCAAATAAAAAAGGAGAAAAGAGAAAGAAAGTAAAAAAGAAGAAAAGAGAAAGAAAGTAAAAAAGAAGAAAAGAGAAAGAAAGTAAAAAAGAAGAAAAGAGAAAGAAAGTAAAAAAGAGGAAAAGAGAAAAAGTAAAAAAGAGGAAAAGAGAAAAGAGTAAAAAAGAGGAAAAAGAAAAAAAAAAAAGAGGAAAAAGAAAGAAAGTAAAAAAGAGGAAAAGAGAAAGAAAGTAAAAAAGAGGAAAAGAGAAAGAAAGTAAAAAAGAGGAAAAGAGAAAGAAAGTAAAAAAGAGGAAAAGAGAAAGAAAGTAAAAAAGAGGAAAAGAGAAAGAAAGTAAAAAAGAGGAAAAGAGAAAGAAAGTAAAAAAGAAGAAAAGAGAAAGAAAGTAAAAAAGAAGAAAAGAGAAAAAGTAAAAAAGAAGAAAAGAGAAAGGAAGTAAAAAAGAAGAAAAGAGAAAGAAAGTAAAAAAGAAGAAAAGAGAAAGGAAGTAATTTAAAAAAAAAAAGAAAAATGCTGAAGGAAAATGAAAAGTGTCAGTGTAAAAGATAAATAACTCCGGGCAATCTCCAACCATCTAAAAAGCCTGCAAATTTTTATAATCAAACAACTTATTTTTCATTTGGCCACAAGAGCAACAACAGTTCGTTAACATTTAATTAATGCTTGACATCATCAGGCAACTTGTAATCCAATGTTTCAAATGCACTGGCCTCAAATCTAACCTTCTATCAATTCACACATACAAATGGGATTATTGAAATTACAAGAATAAATTTCCCCACTAACAATTTTAAATTAAAAGAGAACACAGCAAATTTTTAAATTCCAGTGATCAAGTATCGTCCTTACGTGTGCCTATTAAGATTTACCAAACTCTGTTTTGTTCAACAGACACTAAAATGGGGGAGGGGCCAGCCTCTGTCTAGAAAGAAAAGGAATTTTTATTTGTTGATGAGAAATGTATAATTACATTAACTACCGAGAAAATCTTTTGCATATGTTTATGCTTGTAAAATCTCAGTGTCTATTAATATAAGAACTTTAAAAATAGAATTTGTAAACCAAATTCATTTCTTAATTGCAATGAATAATCATTTCTTTTTTTTTTATTTATTCTGAATAGGAAATTTAATCTTTCATATTTTTTTTTTTTTTAGTAATGAACAGAAACTAAGCAAGCAAACTGCATTCCAAAATGAAAATATCAAAAAGGAATTGAAATCCGTGTTAAATTTCCAATCCTTTGGACAATCTGGAAAACATACAATTAGATTCAGATAATTTCTGTTTTTAAGGAATATTGGAAACCGTTTTTTCAATTAAAGGGAATTCTACCAGAATATGATAACTTGATATTTGGTTTCAGTAAAATGGAAAGAGAAAAATGTTCTCCAATTTGATTTGGATTTTCTGATATTCTTCAGAGAAACACAAAATGAAGAAAAAAAAAATCTTGATGTGAGTGGAAGAAATAAATTTTAACCAAAATTAGTTTTACTGATGTGGACAGAAATTCCTATTCAGTAGATGTGTGTAGGGGTTCTACATATATTTATTATCAAAACAAGCCAGAAGATTCAAATAAACACACACACACGTAGTATAACATACACACACATAGTATAACACATACACACACATAGTATAACACACACACACGTAGTATAACATACACACACATAGTATAACACATACACACACATAGTATAACATATACACACACATAGTATAACATACACATAGTATAACACACATAGTATAACACACACACATATAACATACACACACACGTAGTATAACATATACACACATAGTATAACACACACACACATAGTATAACATACACACACATATAATAACACACACACACATAACATACACACACATAGTATAACATACACACACATAGTATAACATACACACATACACACACACACATAGTAAACATACACACATAGTATAACATACACACACATAGTATAACACACACACACACACACATAGTATAAATATACACACACATAGTATAACACACACACATAGTATAACATACACACACATAGTATAACATACACACACATAGTATAACATACACACACATAGTATAACATACACACACATAGTATAACACACACACACATAGTATAACATACACACACATAGTATAACATACACACACATAGTATAACATACACACACATAGTATAACATACACACACATAGTACACACACACATAGTATAACACACATACACACACATAGTATAACATACACACACATAGTATAACATACACACACATAGTATAACACATACACACACATAGTATAACACATACACACACGTAGTATAACACATACACACACGTAGTATAACATACACACACGTAGTATAACATACACACACGTAGTATAACATACACACACATAGTATAACACATACACACACATAGTATAACACATACACACACATAGTATAACACATACACACACATAGTATAACACATACACACACATAGTATAACACATACACACACATAGTATAACACATACATACACTTTATTTCTTTAGCTTTAAGTAACGTTTGTAATCCAATGTTACTTCTGAGGAGTTTTTCATTTTGCTGTTCTGGTAATTTTTGCACAAAATTTCAATTTTTGTCTTTTTTTTTTTTCACTGTCAAAAATGGAATAAAGTTGGCAGTTCCATCCAAATTTGAAGAATTTCATTTGTTGTTTCATAGACACACAAAGTGTAGTAATTGTGAAAATTGCAAAATTATCTGCATATAGGTCAGTAATTCTGCCTAGAATCAGAGTACAGTATGTAATGAGAAAAGCATTTAATATAGGAGAAAAAATATAGTTTTAAGGTTTGCTATATTTATAGGATAAAGTGCTCAATATCAGAGATGTAAAGTGAACATTGAAGTCAACACTCGGAGGCAACAGACTGTTTCATGCTAGACGCAATCATCATGTCTGACTCACTTCTCAAAACCTGACCAAAGAACCACAGATTAAAAAAGAAATTCTCAATCTGACCAAGAAACCCTTCCCCACCAAAGGAGAGGCATGTGGTTATTTGGTTAGATTTTAAGTGAGTCAATATATATATATATATATATATAAATAAAAGGAGGAAAAAATTTAATGGAATTTGAACAGATTGATCAATTTATTGATCTGCTGAGTTACACCCAAAACCAGGAAAAAAAAAAAAAAATCACTGCCTTCACAAATTTCATCTTCTATATACTTTTTTTTCTTCAGAGGAAGCCATTTTGCACCTCATGTTCCCTCAACAAAAATCACTTATAAATTACATCTCATGAGAAACCATTTTCACATCTGAAATTAAACATTTTGCAGTTTTTATTATTTAAAATGCTTTAGCAATAAGTAAAGGTTTACATCTACATATAATGACATAAATCATTAGCTTAATTTTTAATCCACTTTTTAGTCTGCATTCATTTGAAGTCTTTCACTTTCTTCATGTGATATTTATTTTGCTCAACTTAATAAAATGTCAAATTTTCTTGATTGAACATTTCAGTTGTCATTATCTGACAATAAAATATTAACTTCATGAGAAATAATCTTTTTTCCATGTATATCACACAATATTAGATTTTAATTTATATTTTCATCCATTTCAATGAATCTTTTTACTTTTGTTCTGCTAAAATATAGGATGTATGGGTGGCATAATGAATTTTCTCTTTGCTGTATCCCTTCAGGACATTGGTAAACAAGCTTGTTAAGTAGGTTATTTGCTGCTTTCCTCTGTTCCTCTTGCCTTCAACATGTCCTGTGAGTGTCCAATTTTCTAAGCCCTCTTTCTTCATTGTGTCCTAGAATTTCAACTGTCTCTTTCTGATGTTAAGTACAAGTGTCTTTTCTGTTTCCATTTTAATAAAATATTAATATTTCTTCTACATGCTGTATCCCTCCAGGATGTTGGTGATCATGGCTCTCCATAATTTCTTGTCCTCTCCTTATTTCGTATTTCTCCTAAATCCTGCTCTCCCAACCATTAAGTAGGTTATATGCTGTTTTCCTCTGGCCATATTGCCTTCAATATAACCTGTGAGTATCAGATTTTCTAAGCCTTCTTTCCTCATTATATACCCTAGAAATTTCAACTAACTTTTTGATGTTAACTATAAACGTCCATTGTTTCCATTTTCTCTAAAACTTTGTTGTTGCTGACATATTATTTTAAGTATCCTCCTGTAGCACCACATTTCTGTTGCTTCAAGTCTCTTCGGTATATATGAAGAGATTGTCTAGCATTCACTACCATATAGAAGGACTGAAAGCATAGAACAGGGTTCACTTATGCTTAAATACCCTAGGTAAAGATGTAAATCCATCTCATTTCCCCCAGCTATGGATTAAATAGACTCGGGTCTGGAAAAATCATTATCTCCAAAAATATTTTTTAATATTTACTCATAAAAAAATCTTCCAAAACAAAAATTTTTTTGGCTTTAAATAACCCACAAAGGGTTGATAAGCCATAAAAAAAAATCAGTCAAGCATGGCAGTATTATATAAAATGAGATAATGTTTAACAAGTGGCATTAAGAAATTAATCACTGAAGAAATTGCATGTGGTCAAACATCCTATCAACAAGTGAATGATTCAAACTCTTCAAACGTTTGCAGTTGTTATGACAGACCTTTTATTTTTTCCATGTTTCTGAGCTGGCAATAGCATTATATATATATATATATATATATATATATATATATATATATATAGAGAGAGAGAGAGAGAGAGAGAGTCTATATGATTGCATCTAGCATGAAACAGCCTGTTGCTTCTAAGTGTTGACTTCAATGTTCACTTTTATATTTACACACGCTCTATCTCTGATATTGAGCACTTTATCCCACTAATAAAGCAAACCTTAAGAGTATATTTCTTTATATATATATATATATATATATATAATAGCATAAGAATTCAGTAATAATTCGGATAAAGTTTCACCAAACAATAAAAATGAAATCAAAATTTCATAGTAGAGTAAAAAGGAAAGAAAGATTGTATTAGCATATATAGAAATGCATATATATATATGTTGTACACATTTCAGTTTGAAGTGTGTGATTTGATCTAAAGACTTAGGGGATGACTCAGAAAATGCCCACTCCTGTCTAAAGATCGTGATAAAGCAGCCATGATAGTCACATGAAACCACCATTCTCAGTGCATTAATCTTCAACCTCAACGTCTTCAATTAGTCTCAAATTGGCTCTAAGGCAAGAATACAGTAGAGAAATAGAAAAAGCTTTAGTACTGGATTATCATTGAACGAATCAAGGATTAAGAGCAGTAGCAGATTGGCTCCATGTGTGCCAAACACTTGATTGATCAATCGATGCCAGACATATCCTTCTTTCTCTCCCTTCTCTGGTGAGGGGAGGCCCAATTTGGCAAAGCCAGACAAGTTACAGCTGCAAATAGCAGTCCCCTGAGGGGCTATTTCTGATAATAATAAACA